CAAGCCAATGTGAATCCTTAACCCCTCGCCTACAGGGCAATTATACCCCCTTCCTGCCCAGGCCAATTTTCAGCTTTTAGCGCTGTCACATTTTGAATGACAATTGCGCGGTCATGCAACACTGTACCCATATGAAATTTTTATCTTTTTTTTGAGACAGAGTTTTATTTTGGTGGTATTTAATCACCTCTGGGTTTATTTTTTTCTTAAACCAAAAACCACTGAAAATTAAAAAAAAAAATTTTTTTCTTAGTTTGTTATAACATTTTGTGATACGTGATTTTTCTCCTTCACTGATGTGTGCTAATGAGGCTGCAGTGATGGGCACTGATAGGTGGCACTGATGAGGCACTAGTAGGCTGCGCTGAGGGGCACTGATAGGCGGCGCTGACGGGCACTGACAGGCATCACTGACGGGCACTGAAAGGCAGCACTCATATGGCACTAATTGGCGGCACTGATTGGCGGCACTGATTGGCGGCACTGATTGGCGGCACTGATAGGTGGCACTGATTGGCGGCACTGACTGGCACTGTTAGGTGGAACTGACGGGCGCTGTTAGGCATCATTGACGGGCACTGATAGGCGATACTGACTGGCATTGATGGGTGACACTGAAAGGCAGCTCAGATGGGTACTGATATGTGGCAGTGTGGCACTGATGGGCACTGAAATCTGTCACTGATGGGCACTGGCAGGTGGCATGGATGAACACTGAGAGCTGGCACTGATGGACACTGACAGGTGGCACCACTGGGGCTACACAGATCATCAGGGCACACTGATCATCAGTGCTCTGATGATCAGTGTACATGTCCCCTCCGAGGAATGCTGATTACCGGCTCTCCTCTGTCAGCGTGACAGCTCGTGAGGAGGGAAATGCCGATAACCGGCATTTCCCTGTTTACATGTGATCAGCTGTGATTGGACACAGCTGATCACATGAACGAGCCAACATCTTTGGCTCTTTCCGTGGATCAGTGATCCGCTGTGTCCGAGGGACACAGCGCACTGCCGATCGCTGCACGCTCCCGGAGCCATGCATGCGCGGTGAGAATGGGAGGATGTCATATGACGTCCTCCCAGAACGAGAGAACCACCTTGCGTCTGTCATTTTACTATATAGCGGGCGGTAGGTGGTTAAATGGCTAAAATGCCCCCTCACCTACTTACCACGACCCAATGAGCCAATGCACCCCTACGGATCACACCAGAATCCTTCACGGGTAATAACTCTTCTATATATGATATCCAGAGAAAATCCCCATCATTGGTGGCTCATAAACATCAAAAGTTCCCCTTCCAGAAATAGGTACCGCCATGCAGCCAACTGACTCACACGGATCACATAATTGCCATAAAAGAAGAGAGATCCTCCAGAGTGTAACATGATTTATTTCAAGTGTACATCAGAGCAAAACGCCAAATTTTCACTCACTTGTTTGCAGATATAAACAGGCAATCTCACCACGTTATGGGTGTACTCTGCATGGATATGGGTATACCAAGATAGCGTCCGCCGGAATTACGTCACTGCACATCTACGCGTTGCGTCACTCTCCACACGTGACTTCCTCAGGATTGGCAACTTTTTAGTTTATCACACGTCCATTTGAAGTGCAGGAGGATTAATACTTAATATACACATGCAGGCTTAGTCCTGAGGCGGGCTTTGTGTGTCCATAGACACGCACGTAGCTCAGCTCAGCCTTGCCTCTGACCGCTGTAGGCTGCTTGTATTGTGAAATAATTCATCCTCAATTATGATTTAAGTTTGTTTCCTACAGCTTTCAGCTCTTTGTTAGAGGGCCAGTAGGTACTTTATTTCTGTTGCTAGAGAAAATAAGAAAGGGAAGAGCTGTGTTTTTTTACTCCCTGCATTGGGAACTAATGTTCACAATACCTATCTATGCAGAGGTGAATGAGGGCTTGTTTGAAGGGCATTTTCTGCATGCTTAAAATCAGTGCATACTTTAATGTGCACGGTCTGAAAAGCTGAATGGACACGTAATGGCTTTTACTGAATGACTTGTGTTCTTGTTGAACCAGTTCTGAGCATTGCACAACTCTGCTAGACATCAGTCACATTGGTTACTTTCCATTTCTCTACTTCAGACATGGCTGTGAAGCTTGGTCACCTCCCTGCTCTCATCCAGTGACTGGGAAGGGAAGAAACTACAGCAGATGGGTTCATCCCTGAGCTCTTCTGTCCGTATGTTCCACATAGGCGTATGTGCATGCAGAAAAGCCAAATTGTCCCCTAGTGGAGCTTAGTGGGACAGAGAAGGCTGGTAGTGTGGTGTAAGAGAACATTGGATTTGAATCCTCACTTTGGTGTACATGGCGTTTTTTCCCTTGTTCATTTTTTTGAAATATTGAATATATAAAGTTTATATTGTAAAGCAGCCATTCTCTTCTATGGTTCTTCCAGAGGTTGGCCGGGGTTCCTATGAACTGTGGCTGGTTGACCTCCCATCTGCCTGCATAGCTGCTGGTCCAGCGCTACCTGGCAGAGCATGACTCCAATGATATCTTTAGCTGTCTGTAAGGGTGGCATTCTGATCACCATTGAAAGGGTTACGTTTCCCTCTGGTCACCAATGTAATCAACGTTTTTTTGGCTGGAAAAAAACCCAGGACTAGTGGGTTTCTAGAGGAGTTTTTTTTTTGCTGGTAAAATGCTGCAAACCGGTGTTTTTGGACTTTTTTTTTGACCAAAAAAAAAAAAACGCAAATGTGGCAAAATGCTAAAAAAAAAAGTTGAAAAACCTCATGTTTTTAACGTGACTTTACACAGCTAATATTACCAGCGTTATCAAAACGTCCTGTGTGTATGGGGACTTAAAGAGCCCCCATCCCTCCATGCTCACGTGTAGAAGTGAACAAACACGCACGTCATGCATGTATATGTAAACAGTATTCACAGCACACATGTGAGGTATCGCCGTGAGAGCAATAATGCTAGCGCTAGACCTCCTCTGTAACTCTAAACAGGTATCCTGTCAAAATTTTTTAGAGTGTCGCCCGTACCGCAGTTTGTCGCCATTCCACAAGCGTGCGCAATTTTAAAGCATGGAATGTTGGGTATCTATTTACTTGCAGTAACATCATGTTTCATATTTTGCAAAAAAAAATATATACTGTACATAAATATATGTATATAATATTTGGGGGTTATAAGTAATTTTCTAGCAAAAAATACTTCTTTAAACTTGTGAACAAAAAGGTCTAGAAGATGCTTGGTCTTCAAGTGGTTTTATATATATATATATATATAGTAATGTAATTCTTCAAATAACTTGTTTGAGTGGATGCTTAGAAACAGGTTTGTATTGCCTCTAGCAACCAGATTCCAGACATTATTTTAAAATGTCAAAGTTGCGCTAACCTGTATTGGAAAAAACAAAGTTGGTATTTATAACTGGTTGATAACAAAAAAAAAAAAAAAAGTTGTGAAATTGTATATAAAAGAGGTCAGATGTGATATTTTTACCTACCACTTTCAGCATGTCATTCCTGCCATTCTTTTGTGAGTTAGGAATGCGATTGTAAATGGTGAGCTCCAGGCACAGAAATGTTTTTTAACCACCTCCCGTCCGGCCTTTGTATATAAACGGCCGGACGGTGGCAGTTCAGCGTCGGGTGGCCATTTATAAACTGCCTCCCCACACCCTGCTTGTGCGCACTCCCTGGGAGCGCGCAGCACCGCAATCCGGTGCCCGCTGTGTCTTCCGGACACAATGCAACACCGATCGTCGGACGGGACCTCTGTACGAGGTCCCGATCATGTGATCACCAATTGGCCAATAAGTGATCACATGCAGAGTAGTAAGCAATGATGTCACTTGTGATGTCACTACGTGTGAAATCTGTGAATGATCACAGAGGTCACATGGTACAAGGCTATTCACAACATGTGACAAGTTGTGACCAATCTCAGCTCACTCAGTAGTTCTCAATGGCTGCAAGAATGTAGCTAGAGAGAATGAGAAATTATTGCTTTTACATCCTTTAAGGGTGTAAAAGCAATCGGTGTAAATAAAAAAAAAAAAATCTTCATCACCCGCCACAAGTAGTACAGTGTCACCATGGTGACACTGTACTGCTAGGATGACAGTATGTAAAAAAAAAAATATATATATATAAAGAATAAAAGTTAAAAAAGTTTAAAAATTATGTTTGGTTATAAACTAATTTGGGGTTATTTTTTTTTTTTACTAAAAATGTAACGGAATAAATATTGGCCAAGATTTATGATGAAATACTATTTATTTGCAAAATTTTATAAGAAAAACACTTTTTTAAAAAAAAATTTAATTTTAATTTACATAGCAAAAAAAATAAAAAAAAATCCAGTGGTGAATAAATACCTCCAAAATAAAGCTTTATATGTCTCAAAAAAAGGCTGAAAAATTCATATGGGTACAGTGTTGCATGACTGCGCAATTGTCATTCAAAGTGTGATCGTGCTGAAAGCTGAAAATTGGCCTGGGCAGGAAGGGGGTGAAAGTGTCTGGACTGGAAGTGGTTAAAATATATTCCTCATTAGCCACAGAGGATATATATCTACTTTTCTGCCTCAAATGTTTTAGAAATCCAGAAATTATCCATTTACATTAAGTGATTGTACCACCACCAAGTGTCTGCTCACCTCCATTCTATGACCTCACAACAATTGCTCGGTCATAATACGCCTTTTCCCCTTTAATGGACCATGAGGATCTCCGGTGTATGTCCGATGCCACTCTCCACAGCTTTCTGCTCACCTATCTACTCCACTTCATGTAAACAAAACACTACATAATGCTTTATCCTTGAAAATTGTTTAATGGCTTCCTAAAATAGATACGATTGCACTCACTTGATACAGGTGCTGGATTGCACCAGATATATATGTATACACTATATTGCCAAAAGTATTGGGCCAGCCGTTCAAATCATGTGATTTAGGTGTTCCAATCCCCTCCTTGGCCACATATGTATAAAATCAAGCCCCTAGGCATGCAGACTGCTTCTACAAACATTGGTGAAAGAATGGGTCGCTCTCAGGAGCTCAGTGACTCCAAGCGTGGTCCCGTGATAGGTTGCCACCTGTGCAATAAGTCCATCCGTGACATTTCCTGGCTACTAAATATTCCACGCTCAACTGTTAGTGGGATTATAACAAAGTGGAAGCAACTGGGAACAACAGCAACTCAGCCACCAGGTGGTAGGCCACGTAAAATGACAGAGGGGGGTCAGCGCATGCTGAAGCGCACAGTGCACAGAAGTCTCCAACTGTCTGCAGTCAATAGCTAAAGACCTCCAAACTTCATGTGGCCTTCAGATTAGCACAACAATGGTGCGTAGAGAGCTTCATGGTATGGTTGTATATTTTGTACTTGGTGGCTGGTTTGTGTAGCTCTATATGCTTGCTTTATTTTATCTGTCCACACAACCGGCGTGTAAAAGAACTCCCTGTTCTTAAGTGTTATTGAGTTAAATGTTACATCAGATAAAACTTATACCTAATATAGTTGCATAGGAAGTTGCAGTGCACTTTCATGGTAAACTCCACCCACATCCAGGGATGTTGAATTTATATCGCCCGATGCCTGGGATATGTAGTTCCGGGCTCCAAGCAGGTTGTTTTTTTACCTTTAGCCCTGCTGTGGGCAAGCAGCAGGGCTCACCTGTCCGGTGGAAGCATTCGGGTGGCAGCGCTGCCGCCGATTACCTTTCCCTGCCCACTGTCTCCCAGGCTCCTCTTGCCCATCTGCGGGCCCGGGACCTGCTCACCACCATCGACTAGTGGGGAGGGAGGAGACGGACATATCCGCTCCCCTCTCCTTGTCCTGACCCGGAAGTGAAGTTATGATGTCACTTTTGGGTTCTTGTTGAAAGATATCGAGGCCAGGAAAGAATGTAATGTAATGACACCCCCCCATCCTTACATATACGCTGGGGCGCCTACGCAAGAAACACTTGCGATATACATGTTACATATCACTGCACACGCCAGAATGAGAGCAATAATTCTAGCATGAGACCACCTCCGTACAATATACTGATGACCTATAAGGGGCATTTGAAAGTGTCGCCGTTAGAAAATATAGGGTACTGAAGTTGGTTGCCATTTCATGAGTGCACGCAAATTTAAGGTTTGAGAAGTTGGATATCTGTTTAAAACATGGCTCAAATTGCATCGCATCCGCACCAACAAGGAGCAGGACCTTTTTTTTTTTGGTCCACACTAGAATCAGATCACATGGATATTCACACCCACGCAGTCCGATTCTGCACATCGCAGCACGTTTTGCGGACCGATTTCAGGGTGTTGTTAACATACACGCCTGCAGCGGTTTGCATGAACGGGGTTTGATTGTGATGCGGTGCGGAACTTGCACAGAATCCGCTGCGAATTCCGCACCATATCACAAGGTTACTGAGCGACATATCGGATTGGATGTCACTCCACTTCCTCAAACTAAAATCTCTCTAAAGCTGAGCTCCTAGTTTTCCCCCCAGCCCCCGCGCCCCCCCTGACTTCTCCATCAAGACCAACAACACCACCATCAGCCCCACCCTGCAAGCCAGAGTACTAGGTGTCATCCTAGACTCCAATCTGTCTTTCCAGCCCCAGGTCCAATCGCTGACAAACTCATGCAGGCTCCACCTCCGCAACATCTCCAAAATACATCCGTTCCTAACCCCGGAAACCACTAAACAACTCATTCACTCCCTTATTATATCACGCCTTGACTACTGTAACTCCCTCCTCATTGGCCTACCTCATCGCAGGCTATCCCCTCTTCAGTCTATCTTGAACGCTGCGGCCAGACTCATCCACCTTACTAACCGCTCTGTATCCGCCACCCCTCTCTGCCAATCCCTCCACTGGCTTCCGATTGCCCAACGGATAAAATTCAAAATGCTAACATTGACCTATAAAGCTGTTGTTAACATACACGCCTGCAGCGGTTTGCATGAACGGGGTTTGATTGTGATGCGGTGCGGAACTTGCACAGAATCCGCTGCGAATTCCGCACCATATCGCAAGCCCGTATCACAAGCCTACTGAGTGACATAGTTTTCAGATAGCGGATTGGATGTCACTACACTTCCTCAAACTAAATCTCTCCACAACTGAACTCCTAGTTTTCCCCCCCAGCCCACGCCCCCCCCCCCCCCCTTCCCAGAGATTGACCTATAAAGCTGTTCATAATACTGCCCCAAAATACATCACCGATCTGGTATCCAAATACCACCCAAAACATACTCTCCGCTCCTCGCAAGGCCTCCTACTCTCTAGTTCCCTGGTCTCCTCCTCCCATGCCTGTCTCTAGGACTTCTCCAGGGCTTCCCCCATCCTCTGGAACTCCCTACCCCAATCCATCAGACTATCACCTACTCTCCTCACCTTTAGGCGCTCCCTGAAAACCCATCTCTTCAGGGAAGCCTACCCCGCCCTCAGCTAATTGCTGATCTCCTCCACTCTTCCTACCACTCCATCCCCCACAGCTAGCTCCTCCTGTACCACTATCCCCTCCCTCCTAGATTGTAAGCTCCACGGAGCAGGGCCCTCGAACCCCTCGTGTATTGAATCGTATTGTTACTGTGCTGTCTCGTGTACTGCCTCCCATTATAATGTACAGTGCTGAGCAAACTGTTGGCGCTATATAAATCCTGTATAATAATATCAATGTGAACCCAGGCTTAATGACCAGCAGCTTGGGGTGTGCCTTGACCAACCTGTGCTGCTGCAAGGATCTGGTAATACAGTCTGCCAGGGGTGCAAGGATGACGAGAGTATCAGAACTGACCTACAAATCCTAGGCAAATGAAATCATTTCATGTGTGTGTTTCAACTGTGTATCTTTCTGCTTCTCTGGAGAGCTCCACTAGCCCCACAATACAAGGACAGACACATTACTGATGAATGCAGGAAGTCATCTATTTTATAAACTATTAGACATTTTTATGCGGTTCATGTTCATTTAGAAGATATACTGAGCTGCTTATATCGAAGTGGGTTTGCTGCACTTTGTGTCATTTTATTGTTTTTAATATTATATTAAAGGCTAAGTTCATATTTTACATAAGCTGGCCCATGCAGACAAGGGTTCCCAGTAGTTTCAAATGCACTGGGCTATTTGTAAAAATATTTTTTAATCAAAACCCATGCCTGTAGGCCTCTTCTGTCACCAAAGAAGCCTGGTCAAAAAAATGCAAGGAATGCAGGAGGATACATTTGCATCCACGGACATCAATGCTGGGGGTTACTATTGCATCCACTGACACCAATGCTGGGGGTTACTATTGCATCCACTGACACCAATGCTGGGGTTACTATTGCATCCACGGACACCAATGCTGGGGGTTACTATTGCATCCACGGACATCAATGCTGGGGGTTACTATTGCATCCACTGACACCAATGCTGGGGTTACTATTGCATCCACGGACACCAATGCTGGGGGTTACTATTGCATCCACTGACACCAATGCTGGGGGTTACTATTGCATCCACTGACACCAATGCTGGGGGTTACTATTGCATCCACGGACATCAATGCTGGGGGTTACTATTGCATCCACTGACACCAATGCTGGGGTTACTATTGCATCCACGGACACCAATGCTGGGGGTTACTATTGCATCCACGGACATCAATGCTGGGGGTTACTATTGCATCCACTGACACCAATGCTGGGGTTACTATTGCATCCACGGACACCAATGCTGGGGGTTACTATTGCATCCACTGACACCAATGCTGGGGGTTACTATTGCATCCACTGACACCAATGCTGGGGGTTACTATTGCATCCACGGACATCAATGCTGGGGGTTACTATTGCATCCACTGACACCAATGCTGGGGTTACTATTGCATCCACGGACACCAATGCTGGGGGTTACTATTGCATCCACGGACATCAATGCTGGGGGTTACTATTGCATCCACTGACATCAATGCTGGGGGTTACTATTGCATCCACTGACACCAATGCTGGGGGTTACTATTGCATCCACGGACATCAATGCTGGGGGTTACTATTGCATCCACTGACACCAAAGCTGGGGTTACTATTGCATCCACGGACACCAATGCTGGGGGTTACTATTGCATCCACGGACACCAATGCTGGGGGTTACTATTGCATCCACGGACATCAATGCTGGGGGTTACTATTGCATCCACTGACATCAATGCTGGGGGTTACTATTGCATCCACGGGCACCAATGCTGGGGTTACTATTGCATCCACGGACACCAATGCTGGGGGTTACTATTGCATCCACGGACATCAATGCTGGGGGTTACTATTGCATCCACTGACATCAATGCTGGGGGTTACTATTGCATCCACGGGCACCAATGCTGGGGGTTACTATTGCATCCGCGGACACCAATGCTGGGGGTTACTATTGCATCCACTGACACCAATGCTGGGGGTTACTATTGCATCCGCGGACACCAATGCTGGGGGTTACTATTGCATCCGCGGACACCAATGCTGGGGGTTACTATTGCATCCGCTGACACCAGTGTTGGGAGTTACTATTGCATCCGCTGACACCTTGTGTTGGGAGTTACTATTGCATCCGCTGACACCAGTGTTGGGGGTTACTATTGCATCCACAGACACCAGTGTTGGGGGTTACTATTGCATCCGCTGACACCAGTGTTGGGGGTTACTATTGCATCCGCTGACACCAATGTTGGGGGTTACTATTGCATCCGCTGACACCAGTGTTGGGAGTTACTATTGCATCCGCTGCCACCAGTGTTGGGGGTTACTATTGCATCCACAGACACCAGTGTTGGGGGTTACTATTGCATCCGCTGACACCAGTGTTGGGGGTTACTATTGCATCCACAGACACCAGTGTTTGGGGTTACTATTGCATCCGCTGACACCAGTGTTTGGGGTTACTATTGCATCCGCTGACACCAGTGTTGGGCGTTACTATTGCATCCGCTGACACCAGTGTTGGGCGTTACTATTGCATCCTTGGACACCAGTGTTGGGGGTTATTATTGCATCCACTGACAACAACAATGGGCCCACATTCTCTTCAGTGTGTGTTGTGGTGAAAAAATAGTGAAAGTATAACTAAAGGCAAAACTTTATTACTGTTGGATAGAATGGAGATTAGAACACTTGTCAGTTTTTATTGCAGTCTGTGCTCACATTAGGGAGATTTACCCTCTCTACTGTCCTCGCTCTCTGTCCTGTTCACCATTATCGAACGTGAAAGTAAAAGAAAACACAATTTTAGGCTGACATCAGAACAGTAATAGAGGGCAAATCTTCTAATAGGAACACTAGTTCTAGTGACGCTTCAGGATTCCCTCACTTTGGAGGGGTTTCGTCATACTTCCTGT